TAGAGAAACATCAATGATGCGAGAGAATCATGGATCGGTTGCCTCCTGCACGCCCCACACTGGGGATGGAGCCCGCAACCTGGACATGTGCCCTGACTGGGAATCAAACCATGACCTCCTGGTTCCTAGGTCGATGCACAACCACTGAGCCAGACCATCTGAGCTGTTTATTTGCTTTTTGAGAGAGGGAGAGGGGGAGAGAAACAATGGCTTCTTGTTCCACCCATCCATGCATTCATTGGTTGATTCTTGTATGCACCCTGACCCGGGATTGAACCCGCAACCCTGGTGTATCAGGATGATGCTCTAACCCACTTAGCTCCTGCCCAGGGCCTAGAGCCCGTTGTTAGCGTGTTATGTTTGCGGGATCTATTACACGCCGAGGTGAAGTGCTGAGTAGGCTGCCTGGAGTTCAGAGGGAAGGCCCAGGCGACACCTGGTTTCACAGCCCCGGCCGTATTGACACCTTGAGCGGGACAGTCCCGTGGTGGGGGCCGTCCATGCACTGCCGGAGGTTGAGCAGCACCCCTGACTGCCACCCGCGAGACGCCACAGCACCGGTCCCCCGCTTGCAACAATCGAGAACGTCTCCACACATTGCCAGTGTTGCCTGGAGGATACAACCACCGCCAGGAGAGGGCCCCCGGCCGGCAGCTACACATTTGGGAGTCCTCAGAGGACAGCTCTACAGGACATGAGCTCACACGGGAAGTGAGTGCAAACAAGAGGAGAGGCCTGGCCCGGCCCGTGTGGCTCAGTTGGCTGAGCGCCGTCCCGAGCACCAAGAGATCGCAGGTTCGAGTCCAGGTCAGGGCACATGTCCAGGGTTTCGGATTTGACCCCCAGTAGGGGGCTTACATGAGGCAGCCAATCAATGTTTCTATCTCTCTCTCCTAAAAAAAAAAAAAAAAAAAAAAAAACACAAAAAAAAACATTAAAAATATATTTTAAAATAAATAATGAAAGCCCTGCTGGCATGGCACAGTGGTAGAGCTTCCACCTATGAGCCAGGAGGTCACGGTTCGATTCCCAGTCAGGGCACATGCCCGGGTTTTGAGCTCGATTCCCTGTGTGGGGTGGGTAGGAGGCAGCCGATCAATGAGTCCATGTCATCATTGATGTTTCTCTCTCTCTCTCCCTCTCCCTTCCTCTCTGAAATCAATAAAAATATAATTTTAAAAAAATAAAAGATAATGAGAAAGGAGAGTCCCGGTGCCTCCACCATTCAGAGGCTGGAGAACATGGGTGAACCGAGAGGAAATGGGGGGAAGGGCCAGTGGGGAGGGTGAGGATCAGGACACTGTGTTGCTCCGGAAGCCAAGTGAAGAAAGAGATCGAGGAAGGGGCGTAACCGATGCTGCTGTTCCATCCGATACGGTGAGAGCCGAGAACTGGCCACTGGGGTTTTTTCTTTCTATTTCTCGGATGCACAGTGTTTGTGTTAACTGCTCGTACTCGTCTGAGGGCTCTGTAGACACAGCACTGGATAAATGTAGGCAAGAGGCTAATCTTTCTGGGCCTGTTTCCCAGCTCATTGTCCTAAGGTTCAAAGACATCGAGGATGTAGCTGCATGAGCAGGAGTTTTTGTATACAGGGGGTATTGGGGGCTCGGCTCCAGATCACAGCAATAAAGCGAGTATCACAAGAAAGCCAGTCCTAATCTTTTTGCTGGTGGAGGATCTTGCCTTCAGTCTGTAAAAAGGACAGCATCCGTGAGGCACAGCAAAAGGAGGTATGCCTGAACGGCAACCACCATCACTGACGAAATGTCATTATAGCCAATATTGCTGTTACTCTCCAAAACAACCCACTTCACAGAGGTGAAAACTGAGGCACAGAAAGGCAGTGACTTGCCCAAGATCACACAGTCAGCCATCTGCAAAGCCTGTGGTCAGACCTAAGCAGACAGTCGGTCCACAGAGCCTGGTGCTCTTTTAAAAAAAATATTA